AATACTCAGGGGAATAATTCCGAGTCGTAGAGATGGACTAAAAAGAGGTAAGTTGAAAGAGAGTTCTTGCTAGACCAAGGTCAAATACCCTTTTGCAAAACTGTACGCTCCACATAGCACAATCAATTAATCACCTGCATGTAATCACCATACTCATAAGGTGTTCAGTTTGCAGGTTTCCACAGTTTCGCACCTAACCCATCTCGCAACATAGTCAAGCTCTATTCTCTGTGGACAACCTTCCAAGCGCATGAGCACTCACACCTGTGTTTTCACGTACTCACGCCATCACATGGCGCTGTCACGCGGCTCAATTACATGGAACAAAACACACGATGCGATCACACGTATCGGACACTTGGCTGTAGTCATACAATGCGGTCGCAAGGTGGAGTCGCATGGCGCGATCTCATGACGCAGTTGCATAACTCAGTCACGCAGTAAAATCATGCGGCATAGTCACAGGGTGCATTCTCGCAGTGCAAATACTTGAAACAGGACACACGAGTACAAAGATTGTACGTCTCTAGCTGTTGTTATGAGTTTGGGCTCCTTCCCCCCCTTTTCGTTCATCTACCCACACAATCTACTGCAGGCCGAACCTTTATCGAAGTTAAATATAATCAATTAACAACGATCAACAGGCCTGACTAACTGAGATAAGAAGGAAAAAAACCAAGATTAACGAGTCAACGGAAATTATCTTGCATTAATTGCTGTCTTATATGTTAATCTTCGAACAGAGCAGCCACAAAGAAACGCATTAACAACCTCTGACAGCAATACCCGTCGCAAATTGAAGGTCACTTAGAGGCGACGAGGCAAGTGATGAGTAGAATTGTCTTCAATGAAAAGAGACTTTTGGCAACTGGTTCTTGGCCGAGCGCAATCACACTAGCACCGATAAGTCACGAGGAGGTCTGTCTGCAGCATCGCGAAGGAACCGTTTCGTGGGAAATGCGTTGGCCATCAAGAGCTTTCCCTAGCATCTCTTTTGCTGCTAGGGAATGACAACTTGGGTTCCTGGCTACTCCAAGCCAAGCAATCATGGCGCCGACCACCATGCCCTTCTGACCTTCTTGTCTGGTGCAAGTCATACAGGACCAAGCACCCGTCACCTGCTCACGCCCTTCCCTCTTCTTCTCAGGCCGGATCAGAGCTCTCAACGTGTGCCTCCCTCTCACGCTGGTCCGTCGTTACCCCCCCCCCGTTCCTTCAGGCTCCTCTGCTACTTGATGTGCGCGCCCTCTGAACGTGAGTATCAAGATGACGTTAGCAGCCCCCTCATTGACCTCTCTGGCGCGCCAAGTGTAACCCGTGCAACTGCCTTGGGCTCCGTCCCTTCCACTCGCCTCCCCCTCTCGTTGACCTCTCTCTCTCTCTCTCTCTCTCTCTCTCTCTCTCTCTCTCTCTCTCTCTCTCTCTCTCGTGTCCCCCGCTCACACTTGTTTTTTCCCCCTGTTCTCCTTCTCTCCTGCCCCGCGACCTCTGGGCATCAGTTGTCTCGAGCTGGCTTCGGGTCCCTCCTCCACCGGCTTCACGGCCCGTTGATGCCTCTGGATCTCGCCTGGTTTGTTCCAGGACCTGAGATCCGTCACTCATCTCACTTTCCCCCCCCGAGTCTCTGTCCTGGTGGACTTGTTCCAGGTCCGCTGTGTCCATCGAGGTCTCAGTCTCATGATAAGCCACCGTTATCCGTAGCCTTGCCGTCACCCCGTCCCGTCTACAGCGTCTCTCTGCTCGGTCTCTCGCCTCCGAGATCGCGTCGTGCAACTTCGGGTTAGTCCGCATCTCTCCCTCTCTTGCTCCCTCCACGTTGATCAGTTCCAGCTCATCTCCACCGTCATAGTTGAGTATGACGGTAATCCAGGCCCCTTCCCCGGACACGGACTTCCAACAAGCCTGGTGGTACCAGTACCCAGGCCTATAGCCGTGCAGCGCCATGACTGGTCTCAAAATTAGACAAAGCCTTGGTCCTAGGCACAGACCACCGACACTCGCTAAACACCTGCTGTTTGGTGCCCTTCACCTCGGTTGATTGACACTCACAAAGCAAAGTGACTTGTGCGCTAACGCCACGACGCAGTCCGCTAGTGCCCTCCTGATCAGCCACTAGATAGCCAAGTCTCATTCCTCTTCTCCCCTTTTATACGATCGGATGTATATCGTGACCCCTACGTTCTAAATGAGGTACCTCCTGAAACTCTGCTCGTCAACAATCTGGGGCCATATATTTAATTAAATGGAATAAAACAATAAAAATAAAACCAGGCCAAAACAAAAATAGCGAGGTCTCGAGGAACGTCGGCGACTGCAGACCTGCTGCTACCGGTCCCTGTCGTTTTGTCTAGCCGCGAAATGACTGCAATCTTGAGGCGGTGGTCCCATAATGGGATACCGGTTTGCGTACCTTCACCTTCAAAGCTTGCGGTCAGCCTGTTGCCGTTGGGTGCTCGTGTCCGATGGCAAGGAGCGAGCTTATGACCCCCTTCAGGGGTGATAAGCTTCCTACCGATGCGGCCGCGGGTCGCCCTCCTTTTGAGATCTTACCGCACGGTGCCAAGTCGGAATCCTCCCACAGATTGTATCCGCAAGGTCGGCCTACTTTGGCTGTGGACCACTGAACTCGAAATTTGAACCGTTGGCCCTTCCAGCGAAGTGATGGACCAACGTAATGATAATAATAATAATAATAATCATAATAAGGCGCTTCAGATTTCATCCGCGCAGCAGCCCCGACTGAACAGTAGTATGAATTCTCGCAAAAAAAAAAAAAAACCAAAACCGATGTAGCGGGCCCACCAGGTTTGGTGCTCCGCTAGTGACAGAGATGGAGATGGAGGAAGAAGGGGGAGCAAGATGGCACAACGCAGCTCCCCACGCAAGATTCCAACGCACGTACTCCAAAATGTGCAAGTGAGGAATGAGACTGAAAACAGACAATGGCTGGGGTATACCCCAGCGGACTGACGGGACAGGACTGGACTGGCTGGTACCGACAGAGGTACCGGCCTGGACTGGCCTACCCCGAATATAACACAGGCCTGTGAGAACAGGCCAAGGGGCTGGTCT